ATCAATCTGCCTCCCTCATATGGACTTCTTGTTACACAACGACAGGCTAGCTGGGCTAAAGAATGTCAAATAAAAGACTTGCGAGAGCTCTGCCATATGCAGGCCAAATTAAATTAAGGGGCATAATCCTCACTATTGTACTTATCAGCATTAAAATGGAGGATTACTATCACGGGAACAAAGCCTCATGACATAAAAGACTATTTCCACTCTGTCATTCCCTGTACACGGTTACAGGCTCATGTAGGAAGGGGAGCACAGAAGCGCCACTCCAACTACTGACTTCTACTTTCAACCTGAGGTTTCCTTCTCCCTAGCCAAGTTAACTCCATCCCATCATGCACAGATGGGAGCACCTTCTCCCATGAGGCCATAGGCTTTCTCTCAACAATTCGGTGCTGGAATTTTCTCCACCAATCACAGGGTGACAGTTTTATGCCAATCAGAGTTTATTCCTTAGCTGATTGTGTTTTAAGATTTAGGGCAATGACAGTTACAGAGAACAGAGAGTAGAAAATGCCATGGGCTAAGCATTTGGAGCCTGGAATCTAGAGAGGCAGTAGAAGGCACCAGTTAAAAGTGTGGGCTCTGGAGTCAGAAAGCCTGCGTCCAAATCCTGACTGTCACTTTACTAAGTAACATTGGCAAGTCACTTGTAATCTCTAAATGTTAGAAATTACAAAATGTGTACCTCTCCCTTAGGGTTGTTATGAGAATTAAACAGGATAATGCATGTAAAACACTTAGCACACTGCCCAGGAAGTTGTTAATGAATACCAAATGTGAGCTGTTGTTATTATTGTTGGAGACAGGAGATCTGGATTCAAGCCACAGACCTGCCATTTATTCTCTGTGTGACAGTGGGTGACCTCGGACTAGCTGAATGAAAGCAGGATTAGGTAAATCTGATACATCCAACCCAACACTGATCTCTGGGCCAGCATTTGGGACCTACCTGATTAGCTTCCCCAGGTTCAGTTTACTCGTTGCTAACACAAACCCAAAAGGCTGGTGTGAGAATTACATGAGAAAATTGTGGGAAAAGACTTGGCATGGCAATAAATGTTGGGTGAACCTGAATGAAGACTTCAACATGTCCTGTCGTTCTTATTCTCAGCAATATTTCTTGTTGTATCTGGGTCTTCCTTATGATCTCTTCCCTCTGATTTTGCCATCCTTTCATCCTTCCCTGGTATATATCTGCACCCATCACTACCCCTTCGGGACTCTTCTAGCACACAGTGCCCTTTCTTCTTTGCCTACTCTCTCCTGTGGAAGCTGAAAATGCCAGTGCTTACTTTCTCAGCCTCCCTTGCAGCTGCCCTGAAGAGCTGTAAATTCTGGCCAATGAGATTCAAGGGCAGTGTCTGGAAACTTCTGGGAGAGGGTTCCCTTCTGACACACAGAGACAGACTTGTGAGGTGAACCCCCTTTCCATCCACCTCTTCCTTCCTGCTGTGGATATTGCCACGTGAGGAAATGATGCTTAGCGCTGCTTCAACCACCTTGTGACCATAAGTGGAGGCATTGCTGACTTGCTGAAGTAGCAGAGCACAGAAACGGAAAGGGCCTATGTCCTTGATGACATCCCTGAGGGGCTGATCCAGCACTGGAACTTCTGTCTTCGGACCGCTTGTCCTGAGGGAGCCTTGAGTCTATTGGTTGGAGGTTCTGTTACTTGTGGCTGAGAGCATCATCACTGGCACAATTCTGCTCTGTTCTCATTCTGCCCATCTTCCACTTGCCCCCAAGACTTCCTTCCTGTCAACCCTTGGGTTGATCCACAGGGCACTGAGGTGACCATCACACATTGAGGGAAAAATGGGACCCCAGGCCCCCGGGACAAGAATGTCCTGACACACCATCTGAGGAATTATTCTGTATGTTGTTGTTGTTGCCACCATCCAAAGATTGAGCAGGAAGAAAATTTCTCTCATAAAAATCTGTGTCTTGAAGAGTGGCTTGATAAACTTATTGAGTACCTACTGCATGTATTGGCAACAGGGAGGAACAAGACTCAGCCCTCGTCTTTGAGAAGCTGACCTGCTAGCACACAGTCAACCACATCACCAAGCAAAATGTGAAGAGCCACAGAGAGCGACAAACCACAGTGTGGTCTTAGGACTCTGTCTGTGAACCATTACCACTCACAATGTCATAAGCTTCTGCCGAAATGTCAATCAATTCATCACCAAGAATACTGTTTAGTTCAGTTAATATTTCTTTCATAACAAGCCTTTCTTGATAAAGAAAGCAGTGGGTTGATTTATAGTCAGACACAAGTTCATTATTTTGTCACAAACCAAGACTTTGAGTAGTACGGTTATAAATGGGTTATGAAAGTTCAAGGAGTGTTAAAGAGAATTAAGGTCTTCATGGAGGAAAGGGATATGACAATATATCTTCACAAAATGGGTAAGAGTTGAGCAGAAAGGAATGGGCAGAGAGAACAGAGGAAGGTGCATTGGTAGAACAATGAGAAGTGTGACTCTAGGTGAGTCTGGAGGACAAATTGGAGCAAGATAGAGAGAGGCTTGGAAAATAGCAGACTGACATGTCTGAACATATTTTGGTCTAAAATGGGAAGCCATTAAAGTTCTTTGAAAGGTCAGAGTACGCGTTAGGACGATTGATCAGGTGTCAGAAATGAAAGCTCATCTGTAAAGAGGAGAGAATGGAGACAGAGAAAGAGATAATGACAGGCCTGGACCAGGGAAGGATGCTTAGAAAATGACTGGAGATGGGGTTAAGTGAGAGGTAGGGATCAAAAATGACTGCCATGTTTCAAGGCCAGGTGACAAGAGAGCGTTTGTGCCACTCGCAGAAGTGGGAAGTTCAGGCAGAGGAGGTGCTTTGGTAGCAGCTTTCATAGGTGCTTTTCTGCTGAGGTCCTGATGTGTCCATCAGGAATATGTGTCCAGCAGGAACGGGCACAGGAGTGTGGAGCTCGGAACAGAGATCTGAGAATCGTGCTCACACAGCTGAGAGGTGATACTAGAACACACCAGTGAGAGAGGCTATCACCCAGGTGAGAAGTAGAGAAAGATGAGAATCGAGGACATGGAGAACTGCCTACATATCAGCAATGGGTGGAAGTTGGATCCAGAAAAGGACCTCTTGGAGGAAGAACCTGAAGGCTGCAGTACTGCAGACACCCAGGAAGAGAGTGATTCAAGGACAGTAGGGCCCATGGAACTGAATGCTGCTGAGTCTGATGATGATGAGACTCTAGTGATGAGAGCTGAGCGGAAGGACAGTTTTAGGGATGCGGGGAGGGCACAGATCAGATTTCAGGATTAAGGAGAGAAAGGTTGGTGAGGGAATGAGGCAGATGACCTGGATGTCAGTCTGATGGCAAAAAGTAAGAAGTGGGGAGACAGGGCTAAGAATCGGCTTTTGTTACAATGGGAAGAGGCAAAGGGAAAAGAGGCAGCAGGGGGAGGAAGATATGAAAGCAAGGGGTGGGCTAACTGATGGTGGCAGGGCCTGGTGGGCAGGGACATGATGGGAGGTTAGCTTGTGCAAGGAAGAGGACCTGTGGCCTTTTGAGATCGGAGCAAAGGAAGAAAGGGTAGCTAAAGATCAGGGGAGATTCTAAGGTGGAGGGAAGTGGAAGTTGCTCACAGCACTTTCCTGAGATTCTGAGTAAAGTTAGTAATCAGCTGAGGTTGAGGGGAGTCAGGCTGGGGCTGGAGCCATTTACCAAACTGGTTTACTGACTTGTCCAAGGACAAACAGCTAGAAAATGTCAGCAATAGGACAAGAACCCAAGTCTTCCACCTGCTAAGTTCAGTGGTCTTTCTGTTGCATCAGAAATTCTAAACTTTGTTATTCTAATATGAGATGATAGGTTTATAATATTCCCTTAAGTACCTTACATGAGCTAGTCCGACTATTAAGAAAGTTGCCTACTTTAAAACCAGTCCAACAACAATTAGAGACCAATTTGTCAAGTCTCAAAAATATTAATAAGACATCTAAAAAAATCAATTATTTTTAAAAATTATATATCACGACTGCCTTTTTTTCCAGGTGAAAAGATGCAAAGAACTTTCTAATGATCTGCTTCTTTCTCCAAATCCTGGAGTAAAATTTCAATGAAAATTCCCACAATCAATTTGGAGGAAAAGAAGAAAAGCAAGCTTTATTCTAGTTAGACTTTCCCTTTGCCATGGTCCACTCCTTCCTATAGTTGTGTCCTCCTCCTGGTGACATGTATGACAGGCCTGAAAACCTATTCTGGGAGAAGGCAGGTTACGAAAGTTTCCTTGAGGAATAGGAGGCCTATGAGGTCCTTGAGTCTCCAGTGCTTGATGTCATGGCTTGGCCTGACTTAAACGACCTGAGCCTACATTTAGCCAGGGTCATTTTCCTCTGCAGACCTGACCATCCCAGATGTACGTTGAAATTAGTGCACTATGGCCCTGGGCAATATGCTCCATTCGTTTTGAATTATATTTAACTAAAACCTGTAAGTAAACAGGAAATGATACTCCCTTTTTGCTTTAGCTTAATCCAAGGGTTTTTCAATCTCAGGACTATTGTCATTTTGGGCTGGACAATTTGTTGTGAGGGATCATGCTGTGCATTGTAGGAATTTTAGCAGCATCCCTGGCATCTATCCACTAGATGCCATCAGCACAACTCCTCCCCCTAAAGTTGTAACAACCAAAAATGTCTCCCACATTGCCAAATATCCCAGAGGAGAAGAGCAAAATTGCCCCCGTTGAGAACCATTGCTTTAACCTAATGAGGCCAAGTACAGGCTTTACCATGAAGAGAACCAAAAAAGCAGGATTGCTGTCAGGTTGTCCTATACAATGAAGACTTTTGCTCATAGATTAATGACCTCTAACATGGGAGAATCTGATGGGAAACACTTTGTGGCTCCACTTTTTCCAACTTACCAAAATAACAGTGTTAGAAATACTTCTGTTTCATTGTCCATTGGAACAGAGCCCCTGAGTTTAAGACTGGGAACATTTATAGATAAGACTCACCGAATTTTCTCAGTGATAGCAGGAGAGTTGCTTGAAGTCTGTGCATGGCCACTGTTGGATTCTGCTTGTTGACTGCTTTTATGATCTACAGAGCCCCTCAGAACTGCAAGAAAACAAACAAGTACTTAAAGATTTAAGGATAAATTCAGAAACAGGCAGGGGTAGATTTTAGCACCCATCTGCGCTCTCTGCAGCACCTCTCTCCCTGCCCTCATGCTGCTCCCTGACTTTCTGCAGCCTTTGTCTAGGACACATCATCAAAACTCACCTGTTCTGTGATCGCAGGCCTTGCTTGGTGCTAGGTCCCAGCCAGCAAATTGGATAAAATAACTCACGCTTATAGGGAAAACAAGCTACCTCTCTGGCAATACACACAAATCCTGGACAGAGATTAGAGGCCCCCAGGTGAGGCAGTAGCCCCCAGACAGCAGCAGCAGGCAGTAGCTGGAACAGCTGTGCCAGACAGAATTAGTAGATCAGCTTCTAGTCCCAGCTGGGCAGGGCAGGGATTCCTGCTGATGTGGACATTAGGTCAAGGAATGAAATGTCACAATGTGGGTAGAATTAACTGTAAGTAGGGAATCAGCTGAGGTTGAGGGACAGTTTACTGATGAGTTTCTCAAGAGTGGAAGTGACAAATACAATTCCTCCTTCCTGTGCCCATGGCAGCCATGACTAATCAATCATGGCTCCCTTTTCTTCTGAACCTTAATTCAGCTTCAAGTTCCTTCTTAGCACAATGCTTCACATCAGTGGTTCTTTTTTTTTTTTTTCTGTTCTATTTCATAAACTATTCTTTTTTTTTTTATTGAGTTATTGATAGGTTACAATCTTGTGAAATTTCAGTTGTACATTAATGTTTGTCAGTCATGTTGCAGGTGCACCACTTCACCCTTCATGCCCACCCGCCACCCCACCTCTCCCCTGGCATCCACTAAACTGTTCTTAGTCCATAATTTTAAATTCCTCATATGAGTGGAGTCATACACAGATTATCCTTCTCTCGCTGGCTTATTTCACTCAACATAATTCTCTCAAGGTCCATCCATGTTATTGCAAATGGAATGATTTTGTTCTGTTTTGCAGCTGAGTAGTATTCCATTGTATATATGTACCACATCTTCTTTATCCATTCGTCTGTTGCTGGACACTTAGGTTGCTTCCACATCTTGGCTATTGTAAACAGTGCTGCAATAAACATTGGGGTGCATAAGACTTTTGGGATTGCTGACTTCAAGCTCTTTGGATAAATACCCAGTAGTGGGATGGCTGGATCGTATGGTAGTTCTATTTTTAGTTTTTTGAGGAATCTCCATACTGTTTTCCATAGTGGCTGCACCAGTTTGCATTCCCACCAGCAGTGTATGAGGGTTCCTTTTTCTCCGCAACCTCTCCAACATTTGTTGCTATTAGTTTTAGATATTTTTGTCATTCTAACGGGTGTAAGGTGATATCTTAGTGTAGTTTTGATTTGCATTTCCCTGATGATCAGCGGTGATGAACATCTTTTCATGTGCCTATTGGCCATCAGTATATCTTCTTTGGAGAAATATCTGTTCATGTCTCCAGCCCATTTTTTGATTGGGTTGTTTGATGTTTTGTGGTTGAGTTGCGAGAGGTCTTTATATATTATGGATATTAAGCCTTTGTCAGATATATGACTTGCAAATATTTTTTCCCAGTTAGTGGGTTGTTTTTTTGTTTCAATCCTGTTTTCATTTGCCTTGAAGAAGCTCTTTAATCTGATGAAGTCCCATTTGTTTATTCTTTCTATTGTTTCCCTTCTCTGAGAAGGCATGGTGTCCGAAAAGATCCTTTTAATACTGATGTCAAAGAGTGTACTGCCTACGTTTTCTTCTAGAAGCCTTATGGTTTCAGGTCTCACCTTTAGGTCTTTGATCCATTTTGAGTTTATTTTGGTGAGTGGTAAAAAAGAATGGTCAATTTTCATTCTTTTACATGTGGCTTTCCAGTTTTCCCAGCACCATTTGTTGAAAAGACTTTCTTTTCTCCATTGTATGTCCTCAGCTCCTTTGTCAAAGATAAGCTGTCCATAGATGTGTGGTTTTATTTCTGGGCTTTCAGTTCTGTTCCATTGATCTGTGCACCTGTTTTTGTACCAGTACCATGCTGTTTTGATTACTGTAGCTTTGTAGTATGTTTTGAAGTCAGGGATTGTGATGCCTCCCGTTTTGTTCTTTTTTCTCAGGATTGCTTTAGAAATTCGGGGTCTTTTGTTGCCCCGTATGAATTTTAGGATTCTTTGTTCTAATTCTGTAAAGAATGTCATTGGGATTCTGATTGGGATGGTGTTGAATCTGTAGATTGCTTTAGGTAGAACGGACATTTTAACTATGTTTATTCTTCCAATCCATGTACATGGAATGTCTTTCCATCTCCTTATGTCGTCATCCAATTCTCTCAGAAAGGCCTTGTAATTTTCATTATATAGGTCCTTCACTTCCTTAGTTAAATTTACCCCAAGGTATTTTATTCTTTTTGTTGCAATTTCCACATCAGTGGTTCTTAAAGTGTGGACCCCACATCACCACAGCTTCACGAGAACACATCCTATAAAGCATCAATATCACCTTGACACTTGATTGAAATGCAAATTTTGGGGTGCCACCCCAGACCTAGTGAATCAGAAGCCCCGGGGGATGGGGGCTAGCAATCTGTGTTTTTAAGGCTTCCAGGTGATCCGGATCTGTGCTAAAGTTTGAGAGACACTCTAGATCAATGATTCTTAATCCTGGCTGTACATTAGAATCACCTAGGAAGATTTTAAAAATGCGTGAGCCCAGCCCCCAGAGATTCTGAAATTGACCTGTGGTGGGGTTGGCGTCAATTTTTAAAAGCTCCCCAGATGATTTTAATGTGGGGCCAGGGCTGGGAACTACAGTTCCACAGCATAGTCATACCAATTAATTGGGGTGGGAAAGAGACTCTGTACCTATTTGCTATCTTTATTTTAGATTATCTAGAAGCATCTAAACCAAGAAAGACAATCTATAAACTTGGTGATTGTGACATATTGTGGAAGATGTGTAAATTATAAAAGGTTAATGTTATAATGATAGAACACACAACATGACAAAGATAGAGTGCAGAAAAAAACACGGAAATCAATTGCTTTTGTGTTGTCTATTCTGGGAAAAGTATGCTCTGATTCTATATTATTAGTTTGGTTCCTTAGACATAAAATTCTCCTGTGTAGAAGAAATGTAATTCTTTGAGCTATCAGGGGCAGATATGACCATCTGTTGTTGTTGTTATTATTATTGCTATAAACACCGAAAGGACAAAGAGAAAATTTTAAATGGAACATTATTACATTTTTATTATTACACACAAAAATATTATGACCAAACAATGAAACAACAATATCAAAAGAAGCAAAAGCAAAGGGCAGAAATCAAGAAAAGTAGCTGCAGCCTTTTGCAATTTCATTAACTGATTCTCCCCACCCCTCCCTGCCATCTCTTGATTGATGAATTCCTCCAGTGAAAGGACCAGGTAGGTTTCCCCCTCCTGGAGATTCTAAAACACTGTTTGGCACAAGCTTAGTCATAATACTGTGATAAGCAACATAAAAGCAAGAGTTGACATAAAAAGCAAAAAGAGGACACCACTTCAGGGATACAAATATCCCTGTTTCCTTAAGAAGAAGGAAAATCGACACAAATAATTTTTAACCTTGTTCTCTGGCCCAATCCAGCAGCACCAAGAACTACCACTCCTTGATCAAAGCCCAAATGGTACTGCCCATGTGGAAAGTTGAGCTTGCTTTTGTCTGCACCTATTTTGAGATCCTTAATATAAAAAGGAGTACTAGCTTTTTAACAGCAATTCAGAGAGGAAAAAGCACAAGCAAAGCCAGAAAAGACCACCAAGCCCCTCTTGGTTTGGGACTCTCCTGAGGAAAGGGCCATGTGTACCAACAGAAAGAGAGGAAGTATCAACCTCTTTACCTGAAGCTTAACAATTGCCCCCAGTTACTTTGCCTGGGTTTCCAATAGAAACCCATAGAATTTCTGTTCATGTAATTGAAGGGAAAACTTATTCCATGTTTCTTATTCATTTACACTTCAGTCATCAAAATATTGATTTTTAAGAGTTATTTGAAGTATAAAAACCAAACAGAAACTTACAGAATATTCTTAATAAAGCTTAGATGAAGTCTGCTCCTCCATCCCCCAGCTTTGCCTGAAGAGCAGCAAGAAGGATTTGGCTCAGAGTTAAGAGATCAGCTTAAATAAGAAGCAGGTAACCATTATGTTGTACACCTGAAACTAATATAATGTTACATGTCAATTATACCTCAATAAAACAAGTTAAAAAAATAAATAAAAAACAGGAAGAAGAGGCTGGCCCCATGGCATAGTGGTTAAGTTTGGCATGCTCCGCTTTGGCAGCCCAGGTTCACAGGTTTGGATCCTGGGCATAGACCTACACCACTCGTCAGCCAAGCTGTGGTGGTGACCCACATATAAAGTGGAGGAAGATTGGCACAGATGTTAGCTCAGCATGACTTCCTCAGCAAAAAAAAAAAAAAAAAACCACAAAAAACAAATAGGAAGGAAGCTATCAAACCATTGGGTTCAAAGCAAAATCCAAAATTGTTGAGTATTTCTAGGTACATCCCGGTAATAGCTGGTATCACCCGACATCTCTCCGGCAAATTAATTGCTGAACAAGGAGATTGGAGATATGGAGAAAAACAGAAAGGTAAAATAGAGTGATTCATTCTAAGTGAATAGATCAAGTTAAAGGAATTAGAACAGAAACTTGCCTGAAAAAAATTACATGATGAGCTTGAAAAGCAGAAATGTTCACAAAACACCAGACTTGAGGTATGTGCAGGTGTGACAATAGAGGATTCTCCAGAGACAGGTCATCTCTCCTGAGGGAAGCATCCCTAAGTGTTCCGATTTAATGAAATAAAACGATACTGGGAGGGACTCCTCTGGAGGAGTAGAGTCCTTCCAAAGTCGAACTGAGCTCCATGAGCCATTCATATTTCCCAAGGAAACTGAGCCAGTTCTTTGCTGGACCATTTTGAAACAAGATGGAAAAGCATTTGACTATCAGGAGAAAAAAAAA